GCGGAAATAAAAGAAATGAAAACACAGAAAAGTCAAAAGTACCAACGCTGCAGAGAAGGTCCTCATTAACAGAAACCGTTGCAAGCCCGACGCCCTTGGCCCCTTATCAGCGATCACAAAGGACATGCCCCTTGCAGTCGCAATTGCACTAATGCAGGCAAATTTGGCCGTCATGCTGAGTATCCATCTTGATTCTTGGGTGTATGGGGTACGTAGTACATACGGATAAGGACAACTATCCGTACTTGGTCCGAATCTCCAAGGCGCGCGATCGCTGCTCAGCTTCCTGATATGAACCGTGGAAACCTGTGACTGTTCAGCTTCCCAAGGCCAGAGATTGACTTGATATATGTGATGCTCAGTCCCTCAAGGTCCAGAGACTGGTAGCCTGCAGTGTACGGAGTAGGTCGTAGGTATAGACAGCCACGACAACTAATGGCATCCCCCATGTCAAATTTCACACTGCATCGCTTCTTTGTCCTCATCTAGAAGCTGCCGGACGCAATTCTGGAACTTAGCCCAATATTCGCGGTTCGCCTCGGTTGGGTTGGTTGTGTACCAGTCTTCATGTTCTATCCATATGGAGTACAAACGCAACATCAGATAGCCTACCAGCCCTCCATCCATCCAGGGGAGACTGGCGCAGCCCGCTGTCTATTGGACGCAAGGCGCAGACGTCCTCTCGATATCGCCCAAGGTTCTCAAGGGCCGCATCTCTTGCATTGTGTCCTCCGTGTCAGCTGCACTACAGCATCTCACCATGTGGGAGTTTGTGAGCTGCACCCCAACTCTCGGCCGGAAACCCTGTCGTCACCAGTTCGCAGGACCCGGTCAGGCTGTCACCCCTATTGTTTACCGTGGAAGGCCAGCAAAGGTTAGACAGCTGGAAATCCCAACGTTAACTCAACATAGTTGATCAAGTGGCTCCTGGACTTCTTGAAAGTCTACTCCTCCCGATGAACGTTTCTTTGTGCCGTGCTTTCGTCCCAGCCATCATGAGATGGGCGGCACGTCCTGGTCAGCACTAACAAGGCAAGCCCAAATCACCCTCCAAACGCCGTCGCGCGAAAGCGGCGGGCGTAGGTATTCCGTCAGACTGTTCACCCTAACGTACAGCATATAGCTCCTGGTTTGATTGTGCCAGGAACAAGTCCGAGCGGAATTGGTTTAAAGGATTGCCAAAAGTTGAAGCCCCCAGGATCATGGATAACCGATAGATATGGCGTAGGAGCCATTGGAAACAGCGATTTTACAATGGGGGAAGAAGCTTGAAGATATGGGTACACGATGAGTTTGCAGATGTTAGTTTTGACGGCTCTTGGTAACGTAACAGATCCAGAGCGCCGGGTTCCTCATGTCCCAAGTCCCTCCCCTCCTCTCCCCCCGCCCCCTTCCTCCCCTGGGCCCTGGGCCCTTGGAGTCTTGGACCCTAAACTAACAAACTACTGCGTGCGTCCGTGACTCTTTGCCGATCAGTCATGGCCACATGGCATCCATCGACGGTAGCAGCCCTGCCCCCTCCGCCCTGACCTCGAACCAGTGGGTCTGGCGTGTGGACCCTGCTCGCAGGTGAGCCGTGACACTTCTCACCTGGTAGGTAGGCGAGTAGGATTATTATGTGTAGAGTTTAGTTTGTGCCACGACTTACGCGTTCCTGACCTACATGTCTTTCAACATACAGCTTGATGTCTGGTGGCACTGGTGCATGTGCATTTTGCAAGGCTGCACGCGCAGTCAAGCTACAATAGAACTTGGTACAGATACAGAATCAAAACCACTAGGTATGAACCTGTGATTGCGACGCCATATTCGTACGAACATGAGGATTCAACCACCGGGCGTGCCTCAAACTGTAACCTCCGCCGGGCTGCATCCCCATCACATTCCTGCAACGCCAGAAAGCCCCCCCTCCCCCCCCCCTTTTTTTTTCCTTTGCGGCTATCCAGACTGCGAGCATTCGAAGCCTACTGTAGCCAGGGATCCGTCAGACCAACGAGGCAGCAGGGCCCCGGTAAGCCCGTAACAAGAAGCTCGTTGCCATACACTTTCTTAATCAACCAAGCCACGCCCTCTAGCTCTGAACCATCCACACATAGGTATAGGATCTGAACTGGAGGGGTCAAGAGTCAGCCCTCGAGTGGGAGCTGTGGTTTTTGACGGCATAAGTATCCCTCAAAGCCATGTCCGTAGCAGGCTCAGTTGGCTCGCAAAGGGACCAACCTAATATACGTACAGATCGGAGATGTGAACACATGATGAAATGGCCGCCACTACGCAATGATGATCCCTTGGCGGCCGTGACATCGCAGCTTCGAGATGGATGTGTTGGCTGGGGCCAACACGAAGGAGGGCCAACATGGACAATGGTGGCTAGACACCGGCCCTTTGTCCGTCGAGCTCCGGCTGACACGCCGCAAGATCTGGGTGATTCGGGAATGGCTGATGACATCTAGAATGGACAGCCTCGGGCTGTCCGCCGATTGAGCGGGACAATCCACCGCAGTCCGCTTGAGCTCTCCGGTTCTGACACCCGAATGTCCCCTTTACGGAGTAAATAGATCCGGTTCCTCCCCTCCCTTTTTTTGTCCGTTCATTAGGGCGAAGATTTAGTGAAAAAGGGAGCGGGCGGGCCCGCGCACGGCGCTCAAGGCGGCTTCAGCGTGATGCTGCTTTTGTTGAAAATGGATATGAAGTTATGAACACCATAACACAGATACTCGTACCATATATGTATCCCGTATCCGTACCCCGTACACTATTGACAAGGAGTGGAGCCATCATCTTATGGGAGACGCTGCTCGGAATATTGCCCTCCTCTAAACCCACGCGGTGTCCATCTTATTCCCAATCGTCGCCCACAGTTTCGCCCACCCATGAGCCAAAATTCACAGCGCCAAACTATTTCCCGATCCTCCGAGTCCAAGCTGGATGCCAAAGCCCGACGATGAGGTGGTCGGTATCAGTGATTGATCAACACATCGACACCATTCCCGAAGTTTAGCCACAAGTCGCCTTCATGTGTGGTCAAGTAGGCTCTCATCGCCTGGAAGCCAAAGTCAGTTGCCTTCTTTGTAGCCGCTTAAATTGATCATGAGGACACCGTACGGATATTGGTTTTTTGCTTTTGATAATCTGACTCTGCGGAGTAGATCGGGGCTGATTGGCCCCAGCCTCCGAGCCTCCGAGCCTCCGACAAAGGCCAAGGTGACGGCCAACGGAGACTTTCTTACTCCCTGCCATGGCCCGTGTGAACTGGGGTTCTGCCCATCACGTTACCAAACTCCACTGAATAACATACATAGTACGTAGGTTTTTCTGCCGAGCACGGCAAACACGTTGTTTCCCTCGCCCACAGGGACACCGCTGATCGTGTTGATCGCGTTGATCCGGACGAACAACCGAGACATGGAGCAGACGGCGAATAGGTATGCGTACAGTCTACGGATACAGATTAAGCCTCTCGATATGGATATGGATATGGATATGGATGCATCATTGCACACGGATATCAAGCCCAAAAATGAAGCTTAATTCTGACACAGGCACATACTGCGTACGACGACCAGACCTAGGATGAAAGGGGAGTGCGAAATAAAAAGAAAACAATACAAGGGAGGTAGGCGACCTGAACCTGGAGACTTGGGCACAATCCAAGCCCCCTTTTCTCTGGGCCGCTCGCTTCGGACCCCCTTCGGCTCCAGATGTAATGCCACCATGGCGGGCAGAACTCCCCTATTTTCTTCACCCATTTGCTTGACGATGGCGAATTCCGTCTTATCCCTGCATAAAGACAAGGTCTTGGTCAGAGAGCTTCGGACAACAAACCATCGCAAGGGTAATGAGGCTTCTTGGAGGAGTTTCAATGCACAAGAGTTCAACCCTTCCAATTTCCAGTGATTTCATCACGATCAATCTCTCCTTCGATGCGGATACTTCCGTTTGATGTGAGCGCTTGTTGCGGTCGTCTATCTGTTCACGAACACAGTCTATGGATGTTTGGATGCTCTGCAGTGATAGACTCTTCGACGCATAGAGCCTATCTGTACAGTTACTTGAACACAATAGGGGAAAGATTCCGCGCGAGTTCCATCGTGACGGGACTTGAATCGCCGGGTTCGTCTGCTCTTTAGACGGCCCTTCTCATGCAGAGGGTTGCAGGCTGCATACGGCCGGCACTCACCAGCCCCAAATTTACCCTTCAAGACTCGAAATTCCCTTGTCAACCGGTCTCATCTTCCCATGCGCACCATTCGGAGAGCCAGTTTTCGACAAACCAATACACTACTGTACCTTGTCTGGCCAGCTCGTTTACGGTCTTCCCACTCTCCAAGGTTTCCGTTAATCTGAACTTTGCTACCCACAGACGACGGCACGCATGGCAGTTTCTTACTCGCTTAAAGCCGTCATAGCCTAATTATCCTTTCATTTGTCCATCCCTCGTTGCTTATTTGCCCCGATCCCATCAGATACGGACACTTCGTATGTTCGTAGGCAGCTTGTTGGTGACTTAAGTCAATGGTCAGCCCGCCGAAGACGCCGTCTGGCCATGCAATAGGTATCGGTCCACCGCACCACCTTGAACCACCCCTTCATCTCTTTGGCCGGGTCAATCTTAGGCTCTGCTCCAAGTATATTGCCCGTCTTTATCTTCACGCCGCCCACAAGGGCCTGCCGCAGACAGCGAGCTCGAATTCCGCCAATCAAGCCGAAGGGCACATTATTACCCAGGGCCAGTCGAGCTCCCCCAGCCTGGAACGATGTACACTATCGTGTACCGGTATCACCCTCCGTGATGGAGTTCGGATGGCGAGATCTCGGTTCCTTCCAGAGATGGCAACCGGTTCCCGGTTCCCGTCCTACTTTAAAGTTTCTCTTATTATGTTCCTCGCGAACCTCTTCTCTTCAAGCAATCCCAAGCTATCTCTCTGCTAGTCACTCTCTTCCAGCAGTGCATAGCGTCAACTGTTCCTCTGCCTGTGTCGAACAATTTGGTCTCTATCATGCGCTTCGGTTCCATCTTTTCACTCGCAGCTGCGCTGCTGAGCGCCACCGTTCAGGCTTACGGTAATCCGGGAGCCTGCTCCGGCCAGTGCTGGAGTCACGACCCTTCCGTTGTCCGTCGCGATGATGGCACCTATTTTCGTTTCGAAACTGGCAGCAAGATCGGTATTTGGAAGGCTCCCGATTTGGTAGGCCCCTGGACCTACCAAGGAGCTGCCTTGCCATCGGGTAGCAAGATCAATCTCAAGGGCAATGATGATCTCTGGGTATGTCTGGTCCAGCCTTCCTTGTCTCCCTTTGGTGCCTTCACTTTTCTCGGCCTTCCGGTTGAAGGGTTCGATCTTCCGTCTAGCCATCAATAAACGGGGTCAGAATCGACGAGAATGGAAAAACTGTCGGCCCTTTAGAGCACACACTCATGATCTTGTCTCGGATAGGCTCCTGATGTGAACAAAGTTGGCGATCAGTACATTCTGTACTACACCGTCTCCTCTTTCGGCGTTCAAAACTCGGCCATCGGTTATGCTACCTCCACCACCATGGAGTTTGGCTCCTGGACTGATCATGGCGCCACCGGGGTCGCTTCTTCAGCCGGCAGCCGCTACAATGCCATCGATGCTCAGCTCGTCAAGTCCGGTAGCAACTACTTCCTGAATTTTGGCTCCTTTTGGCAGGACATTTTCCAAGTGCCTCTGAATGCGGCTGCAACCAAAGCCAACGGTAATCCATACAACATCATTCTGAACACCACTGCCCCTCAGCCTGTCGAGGGTGCCTTCGTCTACGAGCGCAGCGGCACCTTCTGGGCCTTCTTCAGCTCAGGCTCCTGCTGCGGTCTCGACGCTAACCGCCCGACCCCCGGAAACGAGTATAAGATTTTCGTTTGTCGTGCCTCTTCTGTCAATGGCCCCTACACCGACAAGAGCGGCAAGAGCTGCCTGGCCGGCGGTGGCACCCTTCTTCTTCCATCTCATAACAAAATCTATGCTCCCGGTGGCCAAGGCGTCTTGGTTGACCCCAAGCGTGGTGCGGTCCTCTACTATCACTATAGTGAGTAGTCAATTCTGGCTTCAATGCGCTATCAAGTCTAACTATTTTAGTGAACACCGACGTTGGATATGCCGATTCTCAAACTCTATTTGGCTGGAATGTCATCTCGTGGTCCGGCGGCTGGCCTTCTGTCTAGGTATATCCTTAAATACGGAAGGAAGTAAGGGTTGCGGTGGATGATGGCTGTTATATTCTTGTTCATATTATAGCTCCACACGTGCTGAGGGGCATGTACAAACCTTGCGACCCAGAATATCATTTCTATACCGATGGGAGTGTGCGATGTTGGTTCCTTATCAAACCCCCTCTTGTGTGTGTTTACTTACTACCCACCGTAACGCTTGCCAGCTCTGACTCTAACTGACTCAGATTCAAGATGAACGACTTGCCCTTTTGTCTCGATGGGCAGTTGCTTGGGGTCTCTTTCCCCTCAGGCGGGAGGACTAGACTAGGGTTATGCATGACGCTACCGGCAGCCATTCGTTGATGGAGCCAGGCTGTACTTTATCAGATCATTTGTCGCCCTCAACAATCCGGCAGCAATTCGATGATTTTTACTATCTACCTAAAGAATAACCTGGGAGCAATACGTCTCGTGTAAAACCTGCCACCTAGGTCCTCCTCCTCTTCTTCAGAACCTCCGAATAGAAACTTCTTTCCCCATGTGAACAGATCGAAGCACCACGAGACTCGACTTTGGTGTATCCGACGTTGCAAGCATGTCTGGACAAGGGTTTGATTAGTTAAAGTAACTAAAGCAGAGTTTATATGTGATCAGCTTGTACGCATCGTATTTCATACTAAACTAAACAACTAAACAATGATTAACTACTGTCTTCGTATTCTTCAATTCCAATCGCACCCTGTTGTACATTGAGTTTGCACTCAATGGGTGGGACCTTGTAATACTGCACCGTCAACATCTTCCTTCAAGAATCAAAATACCCTTAAACAGGAAGTGAGTACAACCAGTCAGTCGACAATCACAGGGAATAATGATTTATGCTGGGATAGGCTTCTTGTCCTCGGCAGGCTTTTTCTTGTCCTCATCTCGATCTCCATCAGGGCCACGAGGAGGAGGTCCAGGAGGGAACGCGCCAGGGAAGCCAGGGGGGTAGGCGCCGGGGAAACCGGGGCGGGGTTGGACCGGGGCGGGGAACGGAGCGGGGAAGCCCGGAGGACCGGCCGGGGGAGGAGGAGGAGGAGGACGTCTCTCACCATCGCCACCGCGACCACCGCGATCACCATCCCGGAAGCACTCACGGTCACCATTGCGGTCACCATCCCGTCCACCTCGATCACCGCCGCTGCGGTCACCATCGCGATCTCCGTTACGATCTCCATTGCGGTCCTCGCGAGCCACCTTACGATCGCCCTCGCGGTCACCATCGCGCCCTCCTCCACGTCCTCCTCGCACACAACACGATCTTCCGTCTCTGTCACGCCCACGATCTTCTGCACGGCAGTCTCGGTCGCCGTCGCGATCTCCGTCACGTCCGCCACGGTCACCACCGTTACGGTCTCCGTCACGGTCCGCCCCATTGCGGTCTCCCTCGCCATCGCCCTTCTTCTTGTCTTCCCCCTTCTTGTCGCCTTCTCCCTGCGTGACGGGAGAAGAAGCAGGAGGAGCAGCAGCTGGAACAGCAGCTGGAACAGCTGGAGGAGCCTGTCGAGTCACAAGGGCTGGCTGAATAATAGCGCTACGTCATATTAGCTTGATATCCTAGGTCAACGAGTTTATGATCGCCACGTACCTTTGCTCGCGTGAGTCGATGCTAGATGGCGCGCCATTCGCACCCATGGTCGCTGCCACCATGATGATAAGAGACTTGGAGAAGCGCATTGTGTACCTGACAGTATAACTAAACCAAGGTTTCTCGGGGATTATCTTCTTTCGGTATATAAGTATATGTTGTTGATGACCGTCTTACAAGCAATTAAGAGGTATTAGGTCGAGGAAAGACCAAGGATGAAAGATGAGTGATGATGATGAATATGGAGATAGATCAATTGATAAAGGTCAAGGAGAACATCCTTTAAGTAGTCGTATCTGCATATCTTCGAAAGCTACGGTCCGTTGATTGACCAGTTTCTTCCCACTCTGCCTACTGATTTTGACCTTCCCCAATGGATCGCGTCATTCCGGTGCTCCGTCTCCAACAGTTCGTTCTTCGAAGATACCTAGCATGAGCAGTTCGTGTTGCCCGAAGTCTATTATGCTATTATGCTATCTGCCTCTTCAAAAAGGCAATTTTTGTCAAGGATTCAACCAATGAGGTGGGTGTCAGGATGCACAGTCCAGTGGCGGAGACCGGTTGTTGGCACCGCCGACCATCCTGATGTGCGCGGCTTGACAGGGCCTGGAAGCGGCTGGCATAGAATTCGAGGCAACCCTGATCAAATTCTCCGACGAGGACCATCTGAACTCTTCTTTGTGTACGATATTCAGAGTCGTTCCCCGAGCCAGAGCAGCTGACTCGGCAATAAATTGCCTGCATCACCAGTCCACTCTATTAGCTGTCGGCGAGACTGGGATACTCGCTGCTTCACTAGAAAGCTTCCTGAGGAATATCAGCTCCATTATCCTTCGGCAGATTCAAGTGACTTCATGCTTGTTAATGCCCATCGCACGCTGCCTTACGACCAATCAAGGGCCAGCTGGTTGTCAAGGCTTGCCACAAGCTCCAGTGGTTCTCTATTTCGTTACTCAGCATAGATTCTGACTTACACTCTTACTGCACTTGCACTAGTAGACCAGACTCCAGAGTGAGACTGTTTCACGGTGAGTCAGACTTTCCATTCAAGGAGGCTAACTTCATCGCATCTCCGCTCGCTGATAGATGCCGCATCTTACGTCTTGGGCAGCATAGGGGTAAACGTCAGCTATCAGTCCAAGATTTGCAGACTTCCCCACCAGTTCCCTGCGAGTATTGCGATCACCACCATCTTCTTGACGTGCATACCGCAGCTTGGTCATGTTGCACACCATTTTACATACAGGCTTAATAGCTTATGAACGAAAGATGAAACTTCAACTCAAGACTGCATTTGACATGCTGCTTGATAGAATCCGACAGAACCTATGGGTCCCACGACAGCCATAACTTTCAAATGATACGCCTACCACAGGGGAGTTGAATGTACTCACTTATGAAACTTCCAAAGATGGATACTGGCTTTCCGACCTTTCCCAGGGTTTCTCGTGCATCAAAAAGACTTCCACATCGAGTTCATGCAGCTCGTCCGAATTTTACCGACTTTTCTCAGCGGTAGGCATTTCTGAATCGGCCAGAGCTAATCTCTACTATTCTTGTTCGAAGTGATGCTGACTAAGCTCTGAAATCGGTCCTCGAAAGCCATCTGAGCTTTCTTCTTCATCCAAGCTGAGATATGCACAGAATCCACAAGATGTGGTTGAGTAATGTGCCTTCCACCAACCAAATCTAGCGTTAGCGAGGTTCACGAAATGCGGTGGGTGCATGTGAGCATGAGATCGACATGCAATGCGACTTAGTCTTCCCTACTTCCTCTTCACTTTCTCCTAGATGTAGTCAACGCATGACAGCGGCCCCAGATGATTATGGACACACGAGCCATTGTTCGGCCATGCTTAGTTACATCTACGTTGCCGAGAAGCGTTTGTTTCTATACTTGTTTCGTCCTCAATTAAACCTCAGTGCTGAAAAGTCCTACTGAGATAAACGGTGAATGGCTGAGCGAACGTCAAAGCTTTCAGCTTCGACGGCGTAGCGTCGTTCTCGTCTTTTCCATTTGCTTTGACTCTTCGCCTCACTTTATTCGTTCCGGCATGATGCATAAATCTTATCTCCTTTCGATATTCTGCGTTTCAATATGAAGCCCGCTTTGACAGCATTATTCTCTAGCAACGTCATACTTGCATCCTATGGCCGCGTGTATGCCAACACCCAATGGATAGACTAGACACATGCTTATGATTGATATTTACATGTTTTTCATCTCCATCTTCCAGGCAACCACATCTTTGCAGCTCAGGCTCTTAGGCGAGCAGGATGGGCAGCATCCACGCTGGCGGTGGAACATGCAAGTTGTATTGACAGCCCGCTCCTCTTGTGAAAAGTAGTCTGCTACACACACGAAATGACTGAGATCTGGGTATAAGAACCTCATCACTATTTGGTAGTCGAGAAAGTCTGGTCAGAAAAGAGTCAAGACTATAATGGAAGTCTACAACGGCTCCTGAGCATTCTTAGACGCACAGTATCCACGAGAATCGTCAAGCAATAGGGCACCATTCAAACCGTAGAACAACAGGGTTGAAGGAAATGCTGTAAGCTAATCCCAGCTCTCTGTTATTGCACCTGCTAAGCTAGTTTACTTGCGCTCAAGTGAAATGTACGTAGGATGGCCAGCATACTTATCGTATTAAATATGCCGCCCCTTTAGCATGCAAAGACCGAGGTTTCCAGATAACAGGTCTTCTGGATATTCGAAAACAAAGCAGAAATCAGATTGGACCAATCAATTCAAGTGGCTTTCAATTTCCAAGACCTATATGAATGGAAACTTTGAAACACAACTGAAGGGATGGGCTACCGTGAATTTTTAGAGGCAAATTCAATCCAAAGGCTTGGACTATGATGCTAAATAATGGCCAATGACGTTCTTGGTATTTCAAAAGAGGTACTGGAGCATCCCAAGGTACACCTTGTCGGAGTACGCTTCCCACACGTTAGTGAACTTTCCTCGTCATCTATCTATATCTACCAGAAGCTTGAGAGATAAACACCCTGGAGTAGAACAAAATATCTGTTACAAGATCAAAGAGCCAGAGGTTATATAAAATATCTACAGCTCTGCCAGTCCGAATGTCAATATTGTAAAGGAGTTGGCATCAAAGTATTCTTCTGATGGATATGGATTCAATGCATTGAGCCATACTTTCGAGAGCAAATACCATAGACCTCTGATGGATATGGATTCAATGCATTGAGCCATACTTTCGAGAGCAAATACCATAGACCTCTTCAAGATTCGAAGACCTCGCGTACGTCGACAGGTTCGAGAGCTCAAGATGTTGGCTGGATGCACTAATTCTTCAAATGGAGAGAATGGCAACTTTAGTTATGTAGTAGATGTTACAGCTCAAGTAGAAGAAGGTTACGATCCATATTAAATTTACGCACTTCTAAATAGTCACGCAAAGCGTATTAGCGACGCAGCTTACTTGATGACATTGTTCCACGAACCTAACGCCGCATAGGTAGGTAAGCTTCGCAAGGCACTGAAGACATTACACTCCTCTTCGACTCACGTTGGCTGATGCTACGTCAACAACGACGCTAAACTCTTGTCTCTGTTATAGCAACGTATCGTCCTGCATTCTAGGGTATTGCTAAAGTCTTCGATTGCCAAGTTATTGAGGCTGAGCGAAGCAAGTCTCTGAAAGAACAAGTCGCCGAGCTGTAGAATTGAATATCGAGGCAATGAGTTCGAGTCTACTTTCACTAAGTTGGCTAACCCTGTACGCGAGTCGACATCAATACGTGGGAGCACTCAATATATCAACGAGACGTCAGCGGGAATTGATCACGGCTGTGCGACTTACTATCGTTCAATCTGTCGAGGCAAAAATTGTCAAGGTCTCTAAATGTAGATATAATGTCGTTTCTTCTTTGGAGCCCCATGATTCCATATGACCCCCCCCCCCTCTTTTCAGTTCGCAACTCTTCTCCTAAGACTGTGCCATGAATTTAACTGCAAGCCTTCCGGAAACGCTGCGATCCTTTCAGTTTGACGGCTTTCCATCTTGCGAACGAGCTATTTCGCCGTGTTCTGACACCCAGAGAATTTCTTATCTAGTCCGAGCGAGGGGAGCCGGCGTGTCCGTTCTGCCCGTTTAGCTCAGGACTGTCAAGCCGCTTGGTTATGTTGCGTGCCAAGTGAATGAGCTGCCTGAGCTGGAAGTCGGAGTCATTCGTCCCATTATTAAGCTGTGCGCCGACCAGACCAATTGTCTTACACATACTGATGAGAGTCTCGCGCGCTAGCTTCGAGGCAGTCTCTGGAGATTGTTGGCGGTACTGTTGCCCTCGCCTGTCGTCGATCGTCGAGAAGGATTCAGGCTCGCGAAGAACTGTCAAAATGGACGGGATGCCCGTGATAGTCGGACTACCAGGATCTCTTTGGTTGCGCGAAGCAGTGGTAGGACTTTCTGACATCTTGCAGTGTTGAATCAAACGAACGTGACAATCGTCTCGTGGTTGTGTGACTTCTGGATGGCCTCTGGGAGGTGAGTCAGCAATCGATGCGACGAACAGAAAGCAGCCAGAGCTGCTTAATATAATTACTACTTGCCAGTGACGGTATGGTGAGATACCTGTATGAGCCAAGTGTTGAGGGCGCAGCTGTGTCGGGGCCAGAGGGAAGTTTAGAGAACGACGGGAATAATCTCGCCACTTCACCTGGGATGGAGATGAAAGAAATAGAACAGCAGGAGGCGGGACACTCTGTCACAAGGTCAGACTCCGTTCAGAGTTTCGCGTCTGTCTCCTCATCAAACATCGTCTGATGTTGACAGAAGACATTCCGCGTGTAGCCGCCACTGCAACACTTCCCTGGTTCCATTTAAGGTTTCGAGCGTAAAACGAAAACATTCATGTCTGTTATTAGAAACATGGAGAAGAAGCCTAAACGTTCGAAGCAGTGTATGATTCGCTGATAGGTATCAACTCGTGGAGGCTGAAAGGTGACTGCTTCCTGGTTCATCTAGTGACATCTTGTCGCCTTATCAGAGTTACGAGAAGCCTACCTACCCTGTCTCTGTGTGGCACAGTGAGGCAAAACATCTTGGCGTATCTGGCTGCAAAATGGTCGCGGGGAAGGGAGACTTTCTGCTCTATGGCAGTTGGACTTGCGGGGAGACGACGGACGGGCCAGAATCCTGGCTTGCGGGCGTCTAGGTGGGGTCAGAGAGCGACGCTCGGCTCTCAAGTCAGTGCAACACTGCAAAGACTATCAAAATTCGCCGGCTCCTGTTTGACCATACGTAAGCACCCGCTCTTCAAGCTGGTTCTGCTGTATACCTGGGGGATCAAAGGTAACAAAGTGAACGCTCGGGTATTAGGTGTGTCACGCATGGTATTTGCTCATGACTTTGGGTCCAGTCGTGATGAACCTTAGGTGACTGCACACTGGAGTGTTCTCGTGAGGGCCTGTCAACTCTACATGTACGATGCATAACGCGACTGGCACGACAATGAATACTCAACTCACAATGTATTTGGCTACACCACGGTCTGAGCGAGCAAGGCCAGAAGCTATATGTTTCTGCCTTTCCTCTCCTCGTGTTATGTTTTTTCAAGAGCGATGGAGGGCTTAGATCGAAGGAACCGTCAAGTGTCAAATGTGTCGAAACAATCGACCAATTTGCTTGACTCGATATCAATGAATAAGTAGACGATGCCGAAGGGGTAGGAACAGGACGGCGCTACCTGTGGATAAGTAGCATTTCAAGAGAGATAGCCTGTGCCACTTGCGATTGTAGACCGAACTGAGGCCACCGAACAATTAAGTACGTTGCTTCAGTAATGAATGTATAGAACGCAGCTGCGATGCAGAACGCTATTAGCTTCAGATATAGCGGTAGTGTACCTTGGATAGCCCCATCATATTAATTGACTTTCTCTTCTGGCAACTACACAGTAGGTTCTCAGCAATATCAGGGGATAGCTATTTGCTTCATCCGATAATATAGCCATCTGCTGTCGAGCCTTCACGGAAGTCCAGGTCCGTAAAGAAGGAATCCAATGCCTTCTTGTACATCACAACACTCATGAACTATCCATGGCACATCAACACAGAAGGACACCTTCGCCGCTTTTGAAAGAATGGATACTAGTCACACACTAGCGGCCCGTGGCAATGTATAACAAGCAAGAGTTGTGAGCAAGATTGCTTCGTGACATCCCTTCTTGTTCTTCTCCTTTTTGTCTGTATTTTAACTACAGCTCCGAGCATCTCCTACAATCAACACCTAATCCTCTGCTCCTCGCTGTTCGTTTTTACAAAACTCGACCGGGCCTCTGGGAATTCCCTCCTACAGATGGCGGGCGATCACAAAATCAGTTCTTCGCCATTGCCTGCTCAAGGTATCGTGGAGCACAGCCACGAATCAACCCCGCTTCTCTCAACGAATGCGTTTCGTGTCGCACATCACTCAATCTCAAGATGCATTGCACATGAGGGCGAAAATGGACCCAGCGGGTTTCATATCCGCCACTTCCTCTACCTTATGTGATTTGGCAAAGGTCATGTACTGGCTCAATGTTGGTCAACGTATTCTGGACTCTTTTATCGATTGCCTTTGTGTTGCCTGGTTTGCAACTTTCCAAGTTTGCCACTGCCTATGATGTAGCTGTCGTGCTGTTAGCGAATATCCTTGGGTTTGCCGGACAAGATTTCGCCTGGAAGATGTCCCAGGTAGCTGGTCTATTGAACGAGACGACGTTTGGATTCCTTGTCGAGATAATTCCGTTCATTGTGCCCATTCTGAAGCACGAGACATCCGTCCCTCGAGAGAGCAGCGATGAAAACAATCTCATCCCTATCATCCAAGCCCCGATTCTCGGGAGCATCTTGACGAACTTGTTACTTTGCCTTCGTTCGTGCTTTTTTTTTTTACTCAGAGGGGGCCCGCCATGAATGCCAAAAGTTTCATGCCATTGTGTCCGAGTTCGGCAATGGACTACTTTTAGTTGCTGCCTTCGGACTCTTGATCCCAAGTACCTTATACTCTGCCCTCAAGTCCGAGACAATTTCCAACCTCCCTGGGATCTAGGTGAGCCACGAGAATTTTACCGAGGGCACTCTTCAAGCCGATGTCCTCCGCATTAGTCAGGCAATCTCGATTGCTCTCATTGTTGCATTTATACTTCACGTCTGGGCCTCTGGCGATTACAGTGATTTACCGGGAGCTATTACTAGCAAAAGCTTAGCCATCTTCTCATGGCGGCCCGCCCGCCTACTACCACTTTGCTAACAATCTTTCAGGATATGTGGCTGGTGGTACGGCTGGACGTCCTATAGGGGTGCCTTTACCAGCAGAAGCTCTGCGCGTATTACAGGGTCCTATCATGCTTTTTAACTTTACGAGATATGTATATAGTAGTATACACCATCAAAGGGAAATCATATGTAGAAATATGAATAAACAGGGTGAGCTTGTTTACGCACGTAGTGCATAAAATAATCAAAAACCAAATAAGTTACGTCTGGTATCAGGCCAACAGCCATAGCAGCATCTTCGATGAGGTCATTGAGATAGACGAGCAACGCGACGCTGACCGTAAAGGGGATATGGAGAAGCCCAAGTTCACCTTGACTGGATCTATAATCGTCCTATTCATATCATGGTACTAGTGACGCTTCTTCTTATCTTCCTGATCCGAGCCATTGAACACGTCGTTCATGGCAGCGTTCCGGACCAATCCTCAGGACTCAAACTGCTCCCTCTGGTGGAGAAAGTAGCGAAGCATTTGACAGCCATTGATAAAGCTTAGGATGAGGAATAACGCTCGCGCAGGACGTTCACGAATCATAGTACATGATTGACAACTACATAGACATGAGGTCATCACGTTACACTCTACCATTGCCTGGCTCCTTCCATCCATGCGGCTCTCCTCAACGGGCCACGGTCGTTTTGGTTGAACGGGCTCTGGAGAACCCCATGGATCTCGACTGTCGGACATTAATGATAGCTCTTCTCGTCCTATCAATTCTCGTCGTGGGAAATTATCTGCGGGATGGAGAATCAACCTAACTCGAAGGTGCTTTGCTTGTATTAAGTGTACCTCACAGATGAATAATAGTGCGCGGTCGCTGAACGATTCAGGTTGCGTGTCCAATCATTGCCATCGCTTGCTGGTGTTATACCACCCTGACGTAGCAACTTCCAATGACCTATATTCCATGCATAGTGTCAACGCCACAATCAGTATTGCGGCACTTCAAGAACTCCAACAGCTGTTGCGGAAAGGCCAAGTAGCTTGGATTAAAGTTTGTTGAGGATTGACGAAATAATCCACCTGCATTTATTGGTAGCAGAAACAGTATAGAAAGCCTGGCGTTGACCTTGGAATCATGTTAATCTTGATAGCTTACGACTTTTCCATCATGTGGTTGATATGGGCGGCGTGACAGTCATGCACAGGATTGGAGGCGTGCTCACGATTTTGACCCTTCATCTTCTACAAATTCACTGTGATGAAAAGCTAACTAAGTACTTGTTGATGGTCCCGGGGCATATAGTTGTCTGTAAACTCCCGTCATATGTATTCCGGGACGTGCTCCGAATGCTCCATGTAATAAACTTGAGCTAAGCTAAATATCCTCCGAATCGAACGAAACACTCCCTAGGTACATGTCGTGAAGGAAGGCCCAGCTCCAGTCGTCGGCACATGTACTTTCCGGTAAAACGGATTGGTCCTCGCTCGTAACCTGTGTGGGTACCAAACTCAATGGCGGAGGCTGCATGTGATCCTCGGCGCCTGACGCTTTCTCAGTGGCCAGTGTAGATTGTTGATTTCGTGAGTCTGAGGCCGTGAGAGGAGATATTTCGAGTAGCGTGGTAGGCAAGCTGGGCCGGGCGGAAACATCCTGTTGTGTGGTTTTCTCGAGAGTCGGATTCTCGAGGCGCGTCCGGTCGAGATCTCGTTTAGAATAACCGTCCTTCATGATTGAGCTATTGCTGACCATTCTGTCGGAATTTTCCACCCATTCTTCCAGGCCTCCAGTATCACCTCCCATGCGGACACCAAGCCTCACGCCCGTGGGCAGTTGAGGTGAAGTACGGTGCCTGAGATTATGATGGTGATCTTGGACCATGGCTGAAAAGTATTGATCTACTTCACCAGATCTTGCGACGAATGCTGCTGCCACTCCTGAATTCTTTGCCATGTTCTTCAGGGCGTCAAGCATGATGGCGGTGTTACTACTACACACATTACTCGACGGAGTTCCGGGATCCTGGCTGAATAGTTCTAGATTGCGGGACAACGAGCCCCGGGCATCCATGTGTAGAAAGTATTTAGCATAAATTGCCACAAATGATGCTGTATAGATGACAAACGCGACGAGAGGCGAGTGTGGAAGACTTCCACCTGACAAGCGGATCAAAGAAACAACAGTCTCTGCTGCTCTGAACACTTCGCTGGCACTCTCCTCCCAGAATCCAAATGGGACCGCGTTTTGCGGAAATGTTGGCTCGTCTAATGGACCGCTCGGCTTTTGGCACTTGATAGGAACGAATGGAAGGTACTGGCGATGGATCATTATCGTGCAGAGGGAATACAGGAGGTGCAAGAGGACGAAAGTGCTCGAAGTGTTCTCGTGACGGAAGTAGTTAACAGTGCTCATCGTTAGATACAGTCCCGGGCTATCGAGCCCGTGGCCGAAAGTCTCCAGTTCTCGCCGCAATTTATAGAACGAAGAATCATGACTCCATGGCGGGACGCTTTTCTCTAAGAAACGACCTCCCGCGTTCGTGTACTGGGAAATTCGACCCCATATGTTTGTCAGTTGCACAAAACAACCGAGAAGACTGCAATCATGGAGCGCCTCAGGTTCGGACAGATTGCTGGAGAGAAACGGTTGTTGATTTTGACGGCTCAAATCAAAATCTTCTTTGGCACATGGCAAATAAACGTGCATATCTTCGAAACGTATGAAGAAGGGTCTCTCCTTGCCGCAGGAAATGAGACGATCGAAAATAAAACAACTGAACATCGTTCTGCGTCTAATCTCTCGTTCGCAGGTTGCCTCTTCGCATGTAGTATTTGGCTTGCTTTCGTGTCCAAGCCTGAGTGCTTGCGCCATGCGTCCCGCTGCTCCAATGAGCATCCAGGCTGAAAGGCCTTCGTGATCTGGCGAGATCCATTCATAAAGTGCAAGCATAAGCAGGGCCTGGACGCGCTCAACCGATCCAACAGATGTTGCCTTGAGGAAAGAGCCAAGCGAATTGTCCAACAGCCTCGCAAATGAGTCAGAAGGAGCGTGACCTTCCGGTTGGTCATGAGGTGTGTTATCGTAGTTGCGGGAGTCGGGTCCGACGTCTAACATGGGCTCTGTGAGGGGCAATAGGTCTGGGTGATATCTCCCTGCCAATGCCAGGATCCCGAGAAGAACCAGACAAGTATCAAAAGATACCTGGTCTTGCCCAGTGGTTAAGTCATAAATTGTCCTTTTGATTGTCGGTGCGTGAATGAAGGGGAGTTCAACGGCAAAATGCTGTTGGAAAGTAGCCAGTATCTTATCCCACAACCCTCGGTCGACGCACCGAATAGCCTGTAGAACCTCGTGGCAATTACTTTTTGGCGCCTTCGCCATGCGAGCCCTTCGTGGTCGTTTCTCCCGCCCAGAGCCTGTAACGCTTGCATCTTGCTTATCGTCAAGCGGGGACATGGGCCTTTTAGGTGGCAACGGAGCTGGAATGGGCCAGGAACAATTGCTACCGTTTCTCTTGCAGTTCTCGCAGGGAGAATCCAGCTGGCCAGTGTTGTCGCATTTAATCTTGGATCGCCTGCACCTCACGCAGGCAATGCTTGACCGGATTCGCATTGTCGCCACCATGTTCGTTGCCGCTTAGGTCTGGAGTTACGACCTCGTTAGGCTGCTGGGTAAATTTTAATCAGATGTCAGGCACCGTATGAAGTTCAAATCAAACGCAGCCCGTTTATGCAAGAGGTTCATAAGTGGACAAGCGTTATCAAGTTTGCTGATTGACGGAGTGCGCAGGGGTTTTAAAGAAGAGAATGAGAACTTAATGAGCAGTCTAGTCTGAGTGGCGGGCTTTACGCTTGGAAACTTCTTAGCACAGCCACAATTTTTACTCTCATTACTAACCTCGCGCAGACTTTCAGCCACACTTCGGCTAGTACGTGCGCCGGTTTCTATAGTACCGAAAGGGCGGGCTCGGCTATTTAATTAGTTCAGAGTACTAGAAATATAATTTAAAATACCTCTTTAGGGTCCGGTCCGCCTTATTAGGGGCTATTTTCGCTTTTATAAATAAGCTAGTTTATTAGGGTTAATATTAAGTATTTTTATTATATAATAAACTTTATAATTAATAATAACTAGCTATAGCTATTACTAAATATTAACGATCTTATTATAAAATATAAATCGCTCTTTAAATAATTAAAAACTACTCCCTATTTTCTATTTTATTTAATAATTTTAAAATATTTTTTTTAATTTTTCTTAACTTATTTTTATACTACGTTTTTAAAATATTAATAATATTTTAAAATTAATTAAGTATTTTAAAGCTATTATATTATATAAACTAAGTACTTATTAAAGTAATTATTATATTAATATATTTGTTTTTTATTTCTGCCTTTACTAGCTGCTCGGGCGATTCTTAATATCGATTATACGGTATTAATACACAGTATTAATAAATACTCCCACTGTCTCAATAGACTTTATATTAATATATACTTTTCTAATTTTTAAATTAATAATATTTAATTTCTATTTTTTAAAATAGTTATATTATAGTTCGGGGTCCTTTAGTATAATACTTATAAGATCGAACTTCTAGTTATTAAAGAAGCCCTAGGGGTTAATAATAACTATATATTTTAGTATTTTAATAGTATATATTTAAAATAGACGATTTAATAATAATAATAATAATAATAATAGTAATAGGGTAATAGTAATAAAGTAATAGTAATAAAGTAATAGTAATAAAGTAATAGTAATAAAGTAATAGTAATAAAGTAATAGTAATAAAGTAATAGTAATAAGCTAATAATAATAAATAGTAAGAGAAGTAACGTTTTTTAATTTTAATAAAAGAAATAAAGTAATAAATATATATATATATATATACGAGTCGAAGTTAAAAGTATATATTAATAAGGTTAGTATTATTCTTAATAATAATAACGAGGGTATTTCCGATATTATACTATTATAAGTTACTATTACCTAAAAAGTAGTAAAATTATCTAAGTAGGTATAGGCTTATAAGGTAGTAGCGTTAAGTACCTAATATTATTATTAATAATCCATAGTTATAAACTTTATAAAAAGGAAAATTGAAAAGTTAGAAAATTTTAAAAAAAATAGTTTAATAAAATAGTAAGAGTATTTATTAATACTATATATTAATACTATATAATTAATATTAAGAATCGCCTAAGTAGTTAGTAAAAGTAGAAATAAAAAACAAATAATTTAAAATACTAAATTAATAAAACTAACTTATAAACTATAAGTATTCTATTTCCCCCCGACGGAGTAATCCGCCGGGGCCGTATTGTATATTACGTATTAAAAAAAACTAAGTATATTGCGCTCTATACCTAATTACTAATTAAAACTCCTAACCTTCCCCCGCTTTTAATTATTTAAAAAGCGAGCTATACTTATTTTAATATATATAAAACCTCTTAATACTAGCTTATATAAATAACTAAATTTTATATTATATACTCCTTCTTATTAAAAATTAAAGAGCCCCTTATATATTTCTTTATATTTATAATATAGCTTATATTAAAAAGATTTTTAGCTTTATAAAATATAATTTTTAAATTAATATTAATATATTAAATCTTAACGTCCGTATTAGCCTAGCTATTTATATAATTTATACTATTATTTAATTAAATTCCGTATTATTAAAAAGTACTTTACTAATTTTTAGGTATATTTATATTAGTTATAATAGCTATAGCGTTAAGCTAGCTAAAAAGGGCGCCTAGCTTAAGAAGGGTAAACTTATTAATAGGTATTTTTAGTTTTAAC